ACGGAGAGAGGGTGCGCAGCGCATGCAAAGAGGAAGCCAGCGAATGCTGAGGCAGAGACCGTGGGCCCTTGTCTTGTAGCTGCTGCAGCAAGCTGCAACAGAGCATGAGCTGCTGCTGCTGCTGCTGCTGCTGCTGCTGCTGTTGCTGCTGCTGCTGCTGGTGCTGTTGTGCAGCTGCAGCAGCGAAGAAACGAAGAAGTGTACAGATTTGGTCCCCACGCAGAGACCCCGCAGCAGCAGCAGCAGCAGCATGCGGCAGCAACACAGCAGCAACTGCTGCTGCTTCTGCAGCAGATAAGAAGACTGGTGTTTCTCCTTGTATTGTTGTTGCTGTTGCTGCTGCTCCTGTTGCTGCTGCTGCTGCTGCTGCATCCATGGGGGCTGCATGGCATCTGTTTATTTCGTTCTGCTGCTGCTGCTGCTGCTTCTGCTGCTGCTGCTGCTGCTGCATGCGCTGATAAGCAGAAACAAAAAACGCTAAATCAGCTACTGTATGTGGGCGCAGCATGACCTGCTGCTGCGGCTGCTGCAGCTGCTGCTGCTGCTGTTGCTGCTGCTGCTGCTGCTGCTCCTGCTGCTGATGTTGCTGCTGCTGCTGGTGCTGCAGCTGCTGCTCGTTGTGTAGGAGGTGTTGGCCGGTGCCCTGGATGACAGCAGCAGCTGTAGCAGCAGCAGCAGCGGCTGGTGCAGCAGCAGCAGCAGCAGTTGTAGCAGCAGCAGCAGCAGCAGAAAGAGCAGCAAGAGCAGCAANCTGCTGCTGCTCCTGCTGCTGCTGCTCCTGCTGCTGCTGCTGCTCCTGCTGCTGCTGCTGCTGCTGCTGCTGCTGTGGGTTTAGTATGAGGTCTGTGAGCCGGTGGGTGAGCTGCATGTACACCCCAGGGTGTCTATAGCCTAGTGCTGCTAGCTGCGCCAGTGCAGCAGCAGCTTCTCTGGTTGTTGCTGCTGCTGCTTTCCACTCTATTTCTGCTGCTGCTCTCGCAATCAGTTCGTTTGTTGCTGCTGCTGCTGTTCCTGCTGCTGCTGCTGCTGCTGCTGCTACACCGCTGCGACGCGCCAGCAGCAACGCCTGCAGCAGCACAGACAAATCAGCAGCTAAATAGCTGCGGAGACACCTCGTGCTGCAGCGCGCAGCAGCAGCAGCAAACGACAACTCTATCAGCTCCACTGTTGTCTTTGTTTGTAGCTGCAACAAATCCCACTCATCCCCTTC